ACAGAAATGTTACTCACATGGTTCTAGCAATGGTCAATCAACCCTCGAGTCTTGACCTACAGTCACAAAATACATAACACAAGCATGCATGTTCGTTCACGTAAACAGATATCATTTCAGAAATCATAGCTTATCACATTTCATTTGGAACATAATTCATATCAATATATCTTTACAGAAATGTTACTCACAGTGGTTCTAGCAATGGTCAATCAACCCTCGAGTCTTGACCTACAGTCACAAAATACATAACACAAGCATGCCTTATCATTACACATTCAAGAGGCCATTAAGGCTTAACTTTTATTACATTGGTTCTTATTCTTTCTTATCACAATGCCTAACACACACACACACTTGCAGTCTCGGAACTTAACACATTCTTTTCTTAGTGTGTTTCTAATCCATAACCTCATTATCAAAGCTTAATTAAGGCTTAGAAATGCCTGAGATGCAATGAGGATGCCAAAACATGCCTTGGAACACTTAGGAAATTTTTTTGAAAATAAGGTCTACGCTCGAGCGTAGCTTTCCTCGCTCGAGCGGACATGCAAAATGTGAAGGGTCGTTCGAGCGCATATTCCTTCGCTCGAGCGATCTGTAAAAGGCATGAAACTTCTGGGAGCTTGCAATTCACGCTCGAGTAAACTTTTGGTCGCTCGAGCGGAGTGCACGCACTCAGAGTGGTCGCTCGAGCGTGAACTCCCACGCTCGAGCGTAGACGCAAATTCTGAAATTTTCAGATTGCACCTTCAAGTTGAAAACTCGAATTCCAACCTTCAAAACACATCTCATGGGCCCCAAAACTTGAGATAAATAACAAACTTGTAAAACATGAAGAATTTAGGATCATTTCATAAAATCATGGCCCAAGGGTTTGTTAAAAACTCACAATTTCAACTTAAAACATGATGAATGTTCATGAACACAACATGCATGAATTTTTCTTGTATCAAACTTCTCAAAACATGATCAAACACCACAAAACAACTTGAAACTTGATGATTTCCCCAAATGAAGATGAATTTTAAACATGCAAGAGAGAATTCTTGGAGTTCATGCTCAATTTGTGAGAAAATGTATATGCATGCATGAATTGCCACTCAAATATTCCTTCTAAGTTCAAAACACACCCTTAAACACATAATCTTCATGTTGATAACTTAGATTCATAATGTAGGGGTTGAATTCATACCTATAGTCTTCAAACACACAAGATCCTTGCTAAACTTGAGCTACTCTAGCAAAATCCCCAACTTCAACCTTAGATCAACACCTTCTCTCTCTAAAATTGTGCTCCCTCTCTCTCTAAAATGTCTCACCAGCTTTTTCCACTCAAGGGAGATGAAACAAATGAGTTCAAATGAGCTTATTAGGCTCATATAAGCTTATGGTGCTAAAACATATTAATTAGAATATTAGGCTAACCAAACATGACTTAATTAATCATTCTGAATCAATTTTTAATAAAACTTGCCATATGGTTCTAAAAATTTCAAATAATATATTGACGTGATCAATTTCGGTTTCGGGTGCCGATAAGACTTTCAATTTACATATTAAAGTGAAAATTCCAAACAGATATTTCTATAAGTAACAGATAGAAGGCCAAATATCATGCAATTTGCATATTAATCCCATAATTCATTTTATTCACTCATTAACATCCTTAATTACCGATTAGTGGCTAATTGTAGATCAGGGTTATTACGACAATCATGCTTGCCTCCTACTTGGTATTGGTAATGGTGAAAAGTTTTGATAATAAATAAATAAAATTAATTGATGGTAAACGGATGACGTTGAATAGTTTTGTGTGTTATAGAAAGAGATGGTTGTGATATAGTTGATTCCAAGTGATCAAGCAAAAGCTAAGGGTAAGTAAGGATTGCATGAATGAGTAATATTAGAGATGCAAAATATTTTGTCAAAATTTTAACATATCACTTGTATAGATGTACGACTCACATGTATGTATAATTCACACTCATATCATAATTGATTCTAAGTGACAAAGCAAAAACTAGTATAAGTGTATGCTAAATCGCATTAAGATCCTCTAGAGTGTATTCTCTAGAGTGATCTCCTAGAGTGATCCATCTAAGGGTTGCGATTCAGTATCGCCAAAATGACGTCGTTTTGGTGAGTAATTTGAAGAAGAAAAAAAAAATACCAAAATTGAAAACAAAGCGAGAGAGAGAAACAGAAGAAGAGATAGAGAAGAAGAGAGAGGAAGTAAGAGAGAGAGGAGACGCTGCCTCCCCGCCTCCCGACGCCCCTCTGCCGCCGCCGACACCCTTAGGGCTGAAGAAGGAGAAACTCACTGTGTCACTTGGCGTGGGACATGCCAACTCATGTTCCTCCACCTTCCAAAGTCATACATACATATATATATATATTTATGTGTATATCTTTACCTTTTTGCTTGAATTTATTATACATGATTAAAATATGCTTAGTTGTTTCTCTTAGTTTACATCTTTATCTCTGTCTCTGTGTGTCTCATTTTCTTGAATTTTGTAGAAATTTGACTCATATTTGGCTACAGTTTGTGTATTTTTTGAAATGTGGATCTCTTTGTTTTGAAATTTCGCGTTTTTGTTTTTTCAAGCATGGATTTTGTAACCAATATTTTTCATTATTTTCCCCCAGGTTGATCTCGTAAATCTTTGTAGAGGAAGGGCTAAAAAAGGAGAAGCTCACCGGGTCACCGCTAACTCGTCGACGCCGCCACTCTCCTTTCTCTCTCAGTCAACTAAAACTTTTTTTTTATATATTTTAAATTACTTACCAAAACAGCGTCGTTTTTGTGAGGCTGATTCTCAGCCCTTGGATGGATCACTTTAGGAGATCATTCTAGAGAATACACTCTAGAGGATCTTAATGCATGCTGAATCAGCAATATTAAAGATATAAAATATTTATATTTGACATGACACTCATATAAATGTGAAACGCATGTATGATCTATACTATTTGGTAAATTTTTTAATAAAATATTTGGGGTCTCCTATTAGGGCCATTCATATTATTGTTTATTAACATATTATTTGTGCTAACAAATAATCAAAATTTGATTTCTAAATTAAAATAATAATATAAAATTTGTAGTATAAATAATTTATAATCAATTAAATTTCATTTATTTTTATTAGAGTTACACATAAGAAAAAGTTTTTATTCTGATGTCATTAATTGTGTGCTATAAGTTCTTAATAAAAATTACATGTTATAATTTAATTGGTAGAAATTACAAAAGAAAATTATAAAAATTATATTTACAATAAAATATAAATACATTTCGTTTTATAAATTTCGTAATTTTAATTTCGCATATGATAAGGGACAGAGACAAGAAGGACTATGGGGGCACGTGACCCCTCTCATTTTTTGAAAATTATGCTAGTATCCATAAATGTTAAGAGTATTTCAAATATATCCCTTATTAAATTATATTAGTGCCCCTCCTAAATTATTTTAAAATACATAATATTTTTAATTTTTCAAAAATAATCTTTATGTGATGTTTCAAGAAAAGAGTACTGATATACAAATAGAACACTTGTACAAAAATTTTATACAGAATGAGTTGGCATCTCATGGTTCCTTCATTTTTAATTAAAACATCTAATATTGCCTTTGTAATTTCACAAATAAAATTGACACATCATTCTAATGAATTTTTTTATATGAATTTTATGTTTGCAAATCACTTTTGTTAAGAAAAATGTGAAAATATTCTTTACTCTTACTAGTGGATTCTATCTCGAATACATTTGCACTCTTTTTGTATTTCTCATCCATTCTCTTTACATCCAATTTTCTCTACTATTTTTTTTTTTTTTTTGGGTCTGGCTTTGGTCCAGTCTGCCATCGGACTGGACCGTGCTGTTGGGTCCGTGGGGCCTACCACGGGTCCCGTTTTGAAAATCTAAACTGTGCAATGTGTAGAACTCGTCGAGTACTATATGCCTGTAAAAAATCACATTGATCGGATATCGATAGCTATGTGATCAAATCAGTTTTGCATAAAAAAAATGGACGGTGAATAAATTAACGGTTGATAAAAAACTATTTTGATCACATAGCTATCGATATCCGATCAACGTGATTTTTCACAGCCATATAGTACTCGACGAGTTCTACACATTTAACGGTTCAGATTTTCAAAACGGGACCCATGGTGGGCCCCCACTGGCCCAACAGCACGGTCCAATCCGATGGTGGACTGGACCAAAGCCGAGCCCTTTTTTTTTTTTTTTTTTCAAGTATTAAGATTTGAAATTTTTTGTTTGTGGGTTTCTTTTAATCTATCTTGTAATTAAAAAAAAAATTCCAAACATATATTCTAATTAAAAGTAATTCTATTTAATTCATTTGTAAGTATTTATTGAGTTTTGTTCTTAAAAATAAATGTTTAAATTTAGTAACATCCAATTACTAATAATGTGGAAAAAAAATATAAGAAAAATTACAAGATAATGGGAAATGAGAAAATATAAGAAAAATTACAGATAATGGGAACGACCCCGCTACGTAGCTCGAAATTCGGTGGCTCGAATTTGGCTCGACACCAAAACGACTTTTTTTTTTTTTTTCCCCTTTTTCCTGTGTTTTTGTTGCAAAAGGAAAAAGAAAAAGAAGGGAGGAGAAGAAGAAGAAAAATGGTGGAGAAGAAGAAGAAGGGTGGGTCTGCAGATCGGGAGGAGGGGGAAGGAGGAGGAAGAAGGAGAAGTGGAGGGGAGGGGGCCATAAAAATCGGGCTGGAGGAGGAGGCGGGGCTGTGGGGCTGCGACGAGCTGCGGCGGGACTGCAACGGAGAAGGAAGAAGAAGGACTAGAGGGGAGCCGCGACGACCTCTCCTCTCTCTTTCTCCCTCTCTCCTCCTCTTCCCCTCTCTTCTCTTTCGAGCCATTTTTCGAGTCAATTTCTCGAGCTATCAATCTTTTTCCTAATGGGAAATGAGCAAATTATTTTCTAAAAAGTAGGAGTAAAACTCTTGCTATAAGTGAAGCCGAAAAAAGTCATGGATTAGATTGAGAAGTACCTCCTTCTCTCTAGAAACGTCGTTTCTAGGGTTTTAGCTCTCAACACTTTGTTGACCAGCGGTGATCTCTCTTTTATCCATGGAAATCTCTCTTTTGTTTATGATTCGTTGAGAGCTAAGGGTTCTGTTGTGGTAGAAACTGATTGTATCAGTTCTAAGATTGTTAATCTCTCGAAGGACATCTCTGAGAAGGGTGTTAGTGCAGGGTCAAGGGTTTCGGCGGAATCGATTCAAGAAATTTCGGATCGATTTAGCGACCTTGTTGCACAACTTCGTCCAGATCCTCATTCGACTTCGGTGGGTCCAAGTCTGAAATGATCGGATCTGGTAAATGGAGAAGAGAGCTCTATGGTGTTGTTTCTCCCCGAAATCTCATGGTTGCACAATCTAGTGGTGTTAGCAGAGATGATAAAATGTTAGAACAGGGGTTGCAAGTCCAGGCTACCGAAGTTCATACAAGCTTTGAGGGGATAGGACCAAATCCTGATCTGAAGGAACAGGGCTCAGATGTTAGTGAAGCTGCTCTAGATACGGGGGATCTGAACTCTAATGTCACTAATTAGAGGTTTCAGTATGCTCGGGGTGGTTACCACGGTCATGGTAGAGGCGTTGCAGCCAATTTCAAGGGAGGTCGTGGAATGAATAGGGGCCAAGATACCAGAACATAGGCAAATGTTACGGCAGCCCCAGTTCGATTTGAGGTAAAGCTTCAATACTTTCCTCCTAAACTATCTCAAGATAAAATCATTGTTGAAATGCCCCCTGTCTCTCAACTCGCTAAATGGGAGTCAAGTTTGGTAGGGTACTTTATAGATAAACGACTTCCGTATACCCTCATTAAGAATAGTGCTTTTAATATGTGGAAAAACAAGGGGCTTCTGGAGGTTCAAATGAATGATAATGGTTTTGCTTTCTTCATTTTCAAGAATCAAGATTGCTGTAGAAATGTTCTGGATGGAGGTCCCTGATATATTGGGTGTTTCTTGCTTATTCTTAAGTTCTGGCATCGGATGATGAAATTATCTAAAGAAGACAAGAAGACCATTCCTGTATGGGTGAAGTTTTACAATGTGCCGATGGAATATTGAACTGGAGAGGGCCTGAGTAGAATTGCAAGTGCTGTGGGAGTTCCCTTATCATGGATCAACTAACTTCTTCAGGGGAGAGAAGTTCTTTTGCTAGAGCTTGTGTGAATATACAAGCTGAGTCTTCTTTTCCTGAGAGTTTTTTTATAACTAGTGAAGGAGAATCTGTTGAAATTAGAATGGAATATCAAGGTGTTCCGACTATGTGCTCCCATTGTTGTGTCTTTGGACATGAAACTAAAATCTGCCTATCTGCCCGAGTGTCAAAACTGTCTGAAACTCAAGTAAGTACTGCAGACAACCCTAGCAAGGGAGATGGCTGGACTACAATAAAGGATAAGGGTAAGAGGAAGGTTGGTGAACCCCGTCTTGCAATTAGCCCTGTATTACCAGTTAAAATATCCAGTTCATCTGCTGAAGGAGGTACTGAAATGAGGACTGTAACTGCTGAAGACTTTTCTAATAAGGCTACAGCTCAAGTGGAGATTGTCCTTTCTGCTGCACTGGACATTGCGAAACTTAGCCACCCTGGAGCTGGAGAGATCTTTCAAGGAGTGGAAAAAGCTGCGGTATTAGGGGAACTATCAACCGTAGTGCCCTTTAGCCATATGGAAAGAACCAATGCAACTGGGAGTTCCACAAAGAATAAATCTTCTGGCAAATCTGGCAGCCAGAAGAAGAAGAAGAGGTAAGCACCTTTTGGTTCTAGTTGTGTAGTTATTGTTTACTCATGTCTTTAAAACTAGCATCTTGGAATGTTAGAGGGTTCAACGATCCTTCTAAACATAAAAAGGTTCTTGATTTTGTGCATAAAGAGGACATAAAAATCATGATTATTTTGGAGACAAAGATAAAATCTACAAATGAAGGTAGAATTTTTGAAAGTTGCTTTAAAAATTGGAATCTTTTGTTGAACTCACAGCCAGACTTGAGTGCTAGGATACGGATCTGCTAGGATCCTAACTTTTGTAAAATCCTCTGCATTAAAATGTCCAACCAATTTATTTTTTGCAAGATAACTGTGCTTGATGGGGATGTTAGTTTTTTTGCTATTTTTGTTTATGCTGAAAACAAACATGCTTTGAGAGTCCCATTTCTTGATGAGCTTGTTTCTTTTGCTAGACTTTATTCTAGTTTTCCTGTTATATGCTTGGGTGATTTTAATGCTGTCAGATTCTCTCATGAAAAATTAGGGGGCAGTTCTATTTGGGATAGTTCTAAAGATTTTTTTAATACTAGAATTTTAGATTCTGATTTGGAGGACTTGTCTTTTAAGGGCTGTCAGTTCACTTCGTCCAATAAAAGATGTGAGGGTGATTTTATTTCTTCAAAGCTAGATCGAGTTTTGGTCAATGAGAAGTGGCTTGAGGCTCATCCTAATTCTTTTACTACCTTTTTGCCCTCTGGAGTGTCTGATCACTCCCCAACTCTCATGAATCTTGACCCTAATTTACCCAGTTCCAAAAAACCCTTCAAATTTTTTGACTTATAGGCAGATCATAAGGATTTTCTCCCTATTGTTAACGGGGTTTGGTGTAAATATTTTAAGGGATCCCCTACGTTTAGGGTTTGCCAGAAACTTAAAATGTTGAAACCTATCTTGAGAGGTCTCTATAAAAAAGAGTTCAGCAAGATATCCACTAGAGTTACTCATGCTAAATCTCACTTGGAGAGCTCTCAAATCAAATTGGATAAGGATTCTTTAAAATTTGGTCTTCAAGAAGAGGAGAGAATTGCCTATGCTAGGTATGTGGATCTTTGCAAAGTGGATGAGAGTTTGGCCCATCAGAAGTCTAGAATCCAATGGCTTGGGTTGGGTGATAGAAATTCTAAATTCTTTTTTAAGGCCATTAAGGGTAATATTAATAAGGGGAGAATTAGCAGTGTGGTGCTTTGTAATGGCAACAGGGTTAACAAAAGTGAGGATGTATACAATACCTTTGTTGATTCTTTTACTAATCTCTTTGGCAAACCTTTTTCTGACTGTTACAATGGCTATGAGAGAATTAATGATCTTGTTTCTCAAAGGGTTACCTCGAACCAATTTAATGACCTTGCTAGAGATGTTACTGATAAGGACATCCATGATGTTTTCTGGTCGTTAAAAGCTAATAAAGCTCCTGGTCCTGATGATTATTCTTCAGGCCTTTTCAAAAAATCCTGGGTGGTTGTGGGTCAGGAGCTATGAAGCACGGACATTGACACGGACACGGACACGGATACGGACACGGGACACGGCAATTTTCAAAAAATGGGGACACAAACACAGCAGGGGACACGGCGATTTTTTTTTTTTTTTTATATATATATATATTTTTATGTGTTATTATGTAGATTCGTATTAGACATTTTTCCTATAAATTAACATTAACATTAGAAGGATAAATAAAAAAATAAAAAAAAAAAACAAAAAAAAGAGCTTAAATAAAATTTAAATAAAACAGAATTTAAACATATAATTAAAAAAAACAGTCTCATCTAAATAAAGAGTTTAAATAAAAAAAACAGAATTTAAATACAGTTTTATATATATACATATATATAAACATATAATTAAAAAAAAAAGTTCTTACATATATATATAAACATATAAACAAATAAAAATAAAAATAAAAAAGAGTCTTACATATAATATATATATATAAAAAAAAAGAGGCTTATTAATATATATCAAAATAAAAAAAAATAAAAAAAGAGTCCATTTCATATAATATATATAAACGTTAAAAAAAATAAAAATAAAAATAAAAATCAGTCTCATCTCAGTCGAAAGCTGAGAGAGAGAGAGAGAGAGAGAGAGAGCGAAAGAGAAGAGGCAGGCGAAAAGAGAGAGCGAGAGACGCAGAGAGAGGGGCTCACCTCGAAGACGACTGGATCGACTGAAGGAGAGACTGAGGGCTGCGATCGACGTCAGAGGGCTTCGATCGACGTCGGAGGGCTTCGATCGACGTCAGAGAGCTGCGATCGACGTCGGAGGTCTGCGACTGAGAGACAGCTTCGATCAACTTCAGAGGGCTTCGACTGAGAGAGAGAAGGTAGGTTGATTTTTTCTCTTTTACTCAGTGTCGATTGGGCTTGTTTTTTTTTTTTTTTTTTTACTTTATAAATATTATACTTTGACCCCAAATAAATATAAAAAATTCAAAAACGAGCCCCGCCGTGTCCCATGGCGTGTCCAGAAATGGACACGCGTGTCCCCTCCGTGTCCCCTTCCAAAAAAATCATTAAATTAAAGGGACACGCCATCTGGCGTGTCCCGTACGTGTCCACGGCGTGTCCCCGTGTCCCCGGCGTGTCCGCGTGTCGGACACTGCTATGGCATCAATTTTGGAGTGTCCATGCTTCATAGGTCAGGAGGTGGTTGCTGCTATTAAATATTTTTTCAAATCTGAAGAGCTCCTCTAAGAGATTAATAGCACCACTATTGCTCTTATTCCCAAGATTCCAAATGCTGAGAGAGTTGGTTAGTATAGGCCTATTTCTTGCTACAATACACTGTATATGTGTATTTCCAAGATTATTGCCAATAGAATCAAAGTTGTTTTACCTACCCTGGTCGACCCTGTGCAGTTAGCTTTTGTCCATGGTAGGAGGATCTCCGACAACATCTTCTTGCCACGAGATTATGAGAGGTTATCACAAGAGTTCACCCACTCCTAGGTGTACTATGAAAGTGGATATCATGAAAGCTTATGATAATGTGAGATGGGATTTTGTTCTTGATGTTATGAGAGCTATGGGGTTTCCCCCCAATCTTTGTCTTCTCACATCTCTAGTGTAATTTAAAGTTTGGGCGAGTAGATTTGGCAGCCAAAATCCTAGCCCAAGTAAAAGCCACATTTTCTTTTCTAGTTGTGAGAAAAAGTTTAGGGATGAGATTACTCATATTGTTAACTTCAAGGAGGAATTCCTTCCTATTAGATATTTGGGGGTCCCGTTGAATTCCACTAGGTTGAAAGCTAGTGACTATAATCAGCTTGTTGAGAGAATCACTAAGAGAATTAAGAGTTAGACCAACAAATGTCTCTCCTATGCTGGCAGAGCTCAATTAATACAGTTTGTTCTGTTTTCCATACAGGTATACTAGTCATCTTTGTTCATTCTTCCCAAGAAGATTATTAAAGCCATTGAATCCCTTCTTAGGTCTTTCTTTTGGTCTGGCTGTGAGCTTAGAACCCATGGAGCTAAAGTTTCTTGGGAGAATATCTGTTACCCTAAAAATGAGGGGGTTTGGGGTTTAAATCTTTAGAGATCTGGAATAAAGCTGCCATTGCCAAGCACATTTGGTTTCTCTTTTCTGGGGGTGAACAATCAATGTGGTGTCAATGGGTCAAATCTTACTTGCTTAAAGGCAAGAGCTTTTGGAGGGTTAAAATGCCTAGTGCTCCTTCTTGGGTTTGGACGAAGATTCTGTCCCTTAGACCTATTATTTACCCTTTGATTAAGGACTGTGTTGGGAATGGGGAAACGATTTTCTTGTGGTTTGATAACTGGCGTCCCCTTGGGTCTCTGTGGGCTAAGTTTGGGGACCATATTATTGATGACTCTGCCCTTGGCATGGAGTCTAAGGTCAAAGATATTGTTGATAATACTAGTTGGAAATGGCCTACTGCTTCCTCTTGTGCTTTGAAGGAATTGATTGAGAGCACTCCTTCTACTCTTCATCCCAATAATGGCCCAGATTCTGTCAGATGGCTTCCCTCCTCTGATGGAAAATTTTCTTTCATTTTTACTTGGAATTATTTGAGAAAGTCTGGGGATAGAATGCCCTAGGCTGCCATTCTCTGGGGCCCTCATAATATACCCAAGGCTAGTTTTGTAACTTGGATGGCAATCCTTGGTAGATTGAATATTGGGAATAGGCTGAGATTGTTTGGCATTTCTCAATATGCTAAATGTGTATTTTGCAAGGACTCTTGTGAAAATCACAAACATCTGTTTTTTGATTGCCTTTTTCTTCTAAAATTTGGACTTGTATTCAATCTAAGTTGAATGTCTCTTGGCCTGTTCTTCAATGGCCTGGTATCACTCAGCTTGTGGCTCTATCTGCTAAAGGTAAATATATTAGAGCTATTATTGTCAAATTGGCCTTCACTTGCACCGTATATCAACTGTGGATTGCAAGAAATAATAGAATTTTTAGAAAAGAGATGATTCCTGAGGAGGTTGTTATTAAATGCATTGTAGATATGATTAGATTTCGTATAATGTCTATGACTAATATTCAAAGGCATTCAAGTGATAGTTGGTTCCTAAATTCTTGGAGGCTACCCCACTCCATTCTGAAGACCACACAGCCTTTGAGTAATGGGAGTTTAGTACATGTGGGTTGAGTGAAGGCGAGCATAAATCTGAGGGGTTATCTAATTTTTTGCTATTTTTTGCAGGAAATTGGGTTGTTCTATGTCTGCATTGAGAGGGTGAAATTACGTTATCTGAGCGTTGAGTGTTTTTTAGCTATATACACTTCCTAACCATCATCCACGGCCACATTGAGTGCTAACAATTATTTTTTCCTATTATTATGTTTCTTTGCAGGTTACATGGAAATGATTTGTTTTGAGTGTTATGAGATCCGATATAGTGGGCCGAGTGTTGTGAGAATATATATTGTGTGTTTGTGCAAATATACAGTCACTGATGTGTATTTTTTGCTGTTGTATAGCTGGCATTTCTGGAACTTAAGTAAGTGTCTATCTTCAGTAGGGTCTTCTAAATTCTAGACAATGGCAGCAAGGAGGGATGGTTGCTTTAGGCGCCTCAAGCGTGAAGAAAGGTTTTATTTAAATTGTATATATCCGTTGAATCTGATATACTATGGTACTGCCTTTGACCATGGTATACTTTATGACGTGTTATTGCTTTCAAACCTTAAGATATTTTGGGCGTCAAAGGCAAGTCTCAAGGGTAGGTTGCCTGATAACTGGAGGAACGATAATAGCAATAATACCTATTATTGATCCCTGAGGGTTGTCAATCTGGGGCAAAATTATTTTACTGCTGACCTACCTCAGAATATGGCCGCAGTGCAAAAATTTCACTGGGATTTGAGTTCAAATGATTTGCAGCGGTACCTTCTTTGGCACCTGCAAGTTCCATGTATGGTGTATTTCAATTAGGGGTGCAACTTGGGCGGGCTTAACCCGAGCAAGCCGAACCCAGCTCGAATTTTTTTAGGGCTTGGACAAGATATTTTCAAATTCGGTACTAGCTAGGGCAAAAATTCAGAAGCCCGAATTAAATTTGGGCGGGCTTGGGCAAAGTTGTCGAACAACCCGAGCAACCCGAAGCCCGAATTATACATATACAGATATATAAAAATATTAAATATACATATAAATTATTAGTCATTACATGATATTAACGTAATTTAGATTATTAAATCATTTTGAATATATATTATATATACAAATAACATAAAATCATATTTCTTCCTTTTTCACTCATAAATTGTAAAAACTACTATAACGGCATCTCTCTTACATTATATAAATTATTTGTTTTGATGGTATTATTGATTTTCTATATAAAAAAAATGTAAATAGAGTCAAATTTTAATAATTTAATAAAGCAGCTACGCGCGCACGCGCACGCGCGCGCACACACACACACGCAAAACAACTAAAATTCATTTACAATTCGGGCAATTTGGGTTTAACTCGAGTCGGGGTTGGACAGGAAACCTCAGGTTACTATTCGGGCCTAGACAGGTCTCAGCACAACATCGACTGGACTGGGCTTGGACAACCTCCTAACCCGACCGAACCAACCCAAGTTGCACCCCTAATTTCAATGTTAGCAGAAATTCGTTGTCGGGTCTTCTTTCAAGATTTAGCAACAATACCAGTTGTGATATTAGCATTATTTCTTATGGGAAAGATCCTAACTTGCTATACGAGGAAGATGTTTAGATAGCGTACTCTAACATACCTGTTTGGGGTTCTTAGATGAACACCTTCTTCGAATCTAACTCAGATGATCATTTATCTATGGTCGTCCATGATTTTAGTTAGAATGGCTTCTCTGGTTCTCTGTCTTTCTTCTCATTTACGAATAAGTTCTTACTGACCATTGGTAAGACCTCATACAAATTGTTGGTGAACAATAATATGTTTAATGGGTCTCTTCTAGGAGATCTGCAGAGCTTTTCAGCTAACTTGAGTGCTAACCAAATATCTGGTGCACTATACCCAAAGTTGCTCCTTGATTGCATATAGTTAACCGTTTTTGAAGCAGCACAGAACCGTATTGGTGGGTCAATTCCTCCCAAGATTAGCATCTTGAAGATGCTTCAATTTCTCAACTTAAGTAGAAACTTGTTGTCTGGATCCCTTCCTATTTAGTTAGGAGAGTTTAAGGAATTGGAGTTGATTTCTCTCCAAGACAACAATTTGACTGGAGAAATCCCAACTCAGCTTGGTCAATTAACTTCTCTCATGGTTTTGGATCCCTCTCAAAATGCCCTAACTGGATCCATCATTGGAAGCTTAGCCGATGCTACAAGTCTTCAAGTTATGTTGATGGATCACAATAGGCTTTCTGGGGAGATTCCTGCATCTTTTTCAAAGGTTCACAATCTTATTCAACTGGATCTTTCTTTCAATAACCTTTTAGGTCATATACCTCATCTTTAGCACGCAAATGATTTTGATTGTTTTGGAAGGAATTGATTTTTAAGTTTGTGCCGAACTGGTACTCAACACCACTAACTGGGCTTCCAGTCCCACTCAAGTTCAGAAGTGGCACAGTCTAAGTAAACTAAAGTCTTTTGTAATAGTGATGGCCATTTTTGTATCTTTTGTGCTTTTTGTCTTAGTAGTTATAGTTCTTTTCCTCCCCATTGGAAGGGGAAAGCTTAGTAGACTCACTAGCCTAAAAAAGAAAGTTGTAGTGACCTTTGCATACACTCCAACTGAACTGAATTACGACAACATGGTTAGAGCAACTGAGAATTTCAGTGTCCGCAACCTAATTGGCACAGGAGGTTTTGGGTCAACTTACAAGGCAGAATTGGTCCCAGGCTTCCTTGTAGCTGTGAAGAGGCTCTCAATTGGTAGATTTCAAGGCATTCGCCAGTTTAATGCAGAGATACGAACTTTAGGAAGAAAATTTGGCATAAGAACCATGTGACTCTCATTGGGTACTTTGTGGGAGAAGCTGAGATGTTCTTGATTTACAACTATCTTTCTGGTGGAAATCTTGAAACCTTCATACATGAAAGGTCAGACAACAATGTAGAATGGTCAGTGATCCACAAGATAGCTATTGACATGGCCCAAGCTTTGCCTTTCCATCATTACTCAGTGTTTCCTGCATAGTTCATCGTGACATCAAGCCTAGCAACATCTTACTTTATGAGTAGTTTAATGTGTACCTGCTAGACTTTAGGTTAGCTCAGCTTCTAGAAGTTTTTGAGACCCATGCTACCACAGTTGTAGCAAGCACATTTGGGTATGTGGCACTAGAATATGCAACCACTTGCAGGGTTTCTAACAAGGCAGATGTTTATAGTTTTGGGGTTGTGCTCTCGGAACTGATGTCATGAAAGCAGTCGCTCAATCCATCAATTTCTGAGTATGGTAATGGGTTCAATATTGTTGGATGGGCTAAATTGCTAATCGAGAAGGGATGTTCTTCTGAGCTCTTCTCCCCAAAATTGTGGGAAGCTGGGCCTAAAGAGAGTTTGTTGGGGATTTTCAGACTTGCATCATCTGCATAGTGGAATCGCTTTCTATTTGCCCATCAATGAATCAAGTCCTTGAGAAACTGAAGCAGCTTTATTCTTAAAAAATGATCAACTTTTTCTCAACGCCTGGTTCTAGTCAATAATAAGGTCATCATACTTTGTCTATGCTACTGAGGTCAGGCCATTCGTTGGTGGGTTTAATCAGTATCATATCCTTCTTCTGATTCTAGAATTGCAAATATATTTCTTGGCTTCAGCTTAATGCTTCATTATTCGTATCATTAGACTTCATTTTCAAAAATATAATCTTGTATATTTATTTTTTTGGTTTCAAAATTTTGAAGTGTGAAACACAGTCAAATGCACCTTTTTGGTCAATAGCAGAGAATCAGACATTTGCATCTTTGATTGGAACCTATAACTTGAAATCCATTTCTGCAATAGTGCCCACAGATATGATAATTAATGTATTACATCCAATTACTCTGGAGACTACCCAATTTTCTAAATCTACCAAACAACTGTTCTTGACTTATCTTGTTCTCAATTTTCATGTTTTGCAATCTATATATTTTGCAATATACGTAATGTGTATGCATGTGACCACATGGGCATGCTGGCTAGAATGTTATCTGAAAAGCATGGCTAACCTCCAAGAATGTAACAGTTAGTGTAGTGTTAATCTGAAGCCCTGCTTGATGGCTTTTACATTAATCATTGATATCTTCTCCAGTAACTTTTTTGTTTTTTACAGGTAACGTAACTCGCACACATGGAGCTTTCATCACTAAGCATCACAGTTTGGTGGTTCTTCACACGACTTAAGGTTGCATGCAATTTGCATTAAACTTTTCCATTTTCTTTGCTTTTGATCAAAGTGATAAGCCACCCCATGCACCTTTTTCCTTTTGCAGAATCAATCAGCATGCTGTTGAGGCAGCAAAGCATATAGGAAGCCTTATGTTAGTATTGGCAGTGTAAAACCAATTACTAGTTGGACATTTTGTTGTCATGCTGAATTCAGTGGAGTTGTAAATGTACTGCACTTGCTCGTTGCTGCTAAATTTGAGCTGCCAGTTCATGTGGTTCAGCAATTTTGAACTAACAGTACACTAGAAACATTGTATATGGTAACACATCTTATATTATTCAATTTGCATAACTTTCTTGGTATAATTTATGAGTTGGAAAACAATACTCTCTCAACACCTTCTCTAAGCCACCAAAGGCATAAATATGGATGCTGGCACATACAGTCCCTCTCCACAATAAAACTTCAGCTTTGAAGTTTGAGAGATGGGATTGTAAGAAACTAGACCTTTTTACTACTACCAACTCAATCACCACCATGTATCAATATCATTAACCATGTGACAATAGGATTATGAATCCATTAGGGAAAATTTGGTAGTGGGCCACACAATGCTTGATACGACTAATTAATTTACTTTCCAATAAAAACAAGAAAAGAATACTATATTTACACCTTGCAAGTAAAAATTTAATCAAATGCTCTTGAATCTCTGTTATTGAAAAGGTTTTCCCATAAAATGGCAACATAAAGATTTACATTATTCAGGAAACCTTGGAAAGTCAAGCAGACAACATAAAAGAAAAATTAAATGACAAATAAATTTATAAAAAGTAAAAGGGACGAAAAGCTTACTCTAAAAATATTACATATACTAATGGACTAGTGAAAAAGAAAACAAATCCTGAGCACGCATCCATGTAAGTAAAAGTGCTCGAGAGCAAAATGATTGTTGCATTGCATGTGGAAATCTTAGGTAGAGAATTTCAAAGCACTCTCTTAACCGGACATGGGAGCAGCAGCAACAGCAGCAACTTAGGTTCTCAAAAAAACATCAAGGAGCAATAGCACTCTGTTTAGCCTTAAGGACAAGCTCCTCAGTGGTGGTGCCAATGATCTCATTAGCATGCTTAAGACTGACACAATAATATCTTCCAATCGAATCCTGTATTGAAATATTGCACTCATCAAAAGAACAAAACCCCACACACACACACACACACATAAAAAAAAAAAAAAAAAACTGACACAACGATAGTTAGGTCCGCAAGTATCAGTTAGGTTTTGCATAGAGAATGCTTTACTGAAACTCTATCCTACAGAGAGTAATATTATCAAATTATCTGTATGAAACTAGGGCCATAATTCATCTAGTTCAATGAACAAACCACATGTCTAGCAAAGCTAGATCCCTTGGCAAGGGTAGGGTTTCCGCTCAGTGCATCCCCTTACTAGTGTTAAACCCACAAAAATTCATTTGAATTGAAGAGAGAATAAACATATTAATTCAAGTATCACCTACATTACCAGGAAGGAGAAAAGGATGATCTCACCCGAGCAATAATCACTACACCAAAATTGAATTTTTATGGCTTGCAATGCATGCCGTAAAAACTCTTTCATGACATGCACACAAAAGTCATTATATGACATGCCGTAGAAAGTTGAGCATCATTTACGGCATGCGGATAAAGTTGTAAAAAGTAATAAATTAAACATTAATGACATACTTTGTATGTCGCATATAACTTTTTACGACACTTTTGTCATGACATAAATCATTATATTTTTCATGGCATAATTTTGCATGCCGCAAAAGGTTATTTTTAATATATTGATGGCATACTTTGTATGCCGTATATAATATTTTACAACATTTTCTTGCATGTCATAAACCATCACTTTTCACGACATAATTTTGTATGCCGTAGAATGTCATTTTTAATATATTTATGATATACTTTGTATGTTGTATATAATCTTTTACGGCATTTTCTTGCATGTCATAAATCATTACACTTTTCATGACATAATTTTATATATCGTAGAAGGTTATTTTTAATATATAATATATATACAAGAATATAACTTTAGCTAACAATATATAGACAGTAGTTTATAAAATACAACCTGTTTACAAACCAAGCAGAAGCAGTAACTATGAAGTAAGCAAAAAAATCTAATATTCATACACCAAACAACTTGCATACTAACTTTCAGCCTCAACTTCTATCATATCAAGCTGATAACAATCTCAAACATACAAATCAAAAAAATACCCAAATCATAAGATTCACTAATCTCCAAAATACAACTTTAAACATCCAAAAAGTAAAACTACAAATCGTAAATCAATTAATCTAATATTTAGTCCAAAATAATGAATTGACTAGGCCATGCAACTGTACTTCCTACTGCATCTTAAAGATCATACATTTCATGAGTAGAACGAAACAACGGCACGTTGACTGTTACGTGGTTCACCCATACTTTCCAACACAAAGGTCCAAGAGTCACATGATGCACCTTTGACTTGGAATCCCTTGATGCAATTTGGCCTTCTACAACCACCAAGTTTGTCCCCTCCCAATGCAACAACTTGCATTTGACATTCTCTAAGTTCGACACACCATTACTTTGATCCTAACAAAATTAAGAGTACAAACAGTCATCCCATTTACCAAGTATTAGTTCAACAAAGGAAATGAAAGTGTCAAAAAGCTTCAAGGAGAACTCACTTATATATGTCATCAATGTCAGAAAAGAAAATTTCAACCTAATGAATAGATATTTTGAGGTGGTCACACTTACGAGTCTACTCAACCTGATGAATTAATAAAAACTAAATGGACATTCTAATTCAAGTGGATCTCTAATAAGTCCCTCAGTTCTTCACTAAAAACTAATTTGACATAAAAAAATAGAATTGCTTTAATAAGAAACAGGGAGAGCACCTAAAATGCCATTTACCATTCTGTATGGAAATAATTGGTAGCCTATCGTCTCCTTATGTTTATTTTCTAATCAAAATTTACATTGATCTTGATTTGTTTTGAGGGATAATTTTGGAAAATCACAAAGCACGACAAAACTTATGTTCCTACCAAACTTGGTATACATAATATGTATAGACATACAAATGTTTTGAAACAACAAAAGTAGGAACAAAACAACATTTTTTTTCTTCAATACTAACTGGTCAGCAATTATTCCTTTTGAGGTCTGGCTAGCCAATGTCCAATGTGTGTTTTGCAAAGATGCAACTGCATTTAGATAGTAAGAGAGAAGTACTTTCCCAATGTTAATGTTCATAGTTTTAGAAAATAAGATTAAGAAAATCCCAAATATTCCCATGATAGACAGGGTGTGTTATGTTTATGTGTTCTTTGTATGTTGCAAAATGAAAACAAAAAAGTAAATTATAATAATAAAAAAACAGAAAACGAAAAAATGTTGCCGGACACCAGCTCTGTTGTCACTGGTACCCTCCCCACTTGGTCTTGGTTTCATTGTAAAATCCAGAAAATGAAACATCAATAATGTCACTGTCTCTACAATCCCTCCAAACAAGGCCTTATCAAAACAAAAGGCACAGAAACCTTATCTTGAAAACTAGAAATAGCTATGGTAACAAAATTAAAAACATATCTACATGGTTGCTTAAACCCATTTCAGCTGAGAAACAAGAAACAGAGCTTTGAAGCAGAGCAGCCATGGCAACCTTAAGCAGCCAATTTCATATCACAAGCCATTCAACTTATCAAAATGTCAGATCAAGGCCGTCTATCTCTTGTCCATTGTCTCTCTCATTTACGTTTTCTCGCAGAATTATAGCACTCACTAATACACAGGAACACTAAGATATACATATTATATATATTGGTTATTATTCACCAACAATATATATATATATATATATATGGATAGTTATAAATGGAGCAGCCAAGAAAAAACAGAAAGGTTTCTCATTCTTTTCACCCTCATTTTATTTCCTTTCATGACATGAAGCTTTTGGTGTTTCTAATCATTTCTAATTTGTGCACTTTTTAGAAGGTGTGTGACATGGAAGAGCCTCTTGAAATACCCATAATGAATGATCTCACAATGGTATTGGGTTCCATATCTCAGGTATTGCACTGCAATTACTCTTCAAAGTACAGGCTCTTTTTATTAGCACAAAATCATCAATCAAAACAGCAATTCTATATATTTTTCATCAAGCCTCCACTCAAATTAAAGGCTTTTAAAAGCCCGCTGTCAAAGTGAAGGCTTCACTTGAGAATTTTTTGTTGGCCCACTTTTTTTGCCCAAGTGACATGATGTGAAAAAATTGACCCTAGATTGCAAAATGGTTTCTAAAACATACTAGCTTAGGAAATTTTTTAAGACTGACAACAGAGTGATCTCTATCGACAATATACTAAGATTTGTCTACAGGCAATCATGTTATGCATTGTAACTTATACACACCACTAAGCAACCAGAAGTTTCTAATATCCTAAACATAAACCAGTGCAATGATTATATCTCCATGCATGCTAACCACAACCTAATCCCAATCTGACAAATCGTCAACTCAGCAAGGACATGTGTGTTTGGCCTCACCTAACTACAAAAACAGGATTTAAGAATCAACTAGTTTCAGCATTTGCTTCTCTATATCCTTACTTCTTATACCAGATTGGGCTGAATTTTTTATATCCTTACTTCTTAAGAATTATTATACATTCGCTATTCAACATTTACGAAGCGAAATTTTCAAAAGTGTTAACATTTCATCCCAAACATAGCAACCTAGAAACCAAAAGCAAGTAAAATCAAAAGATCAGATTTGGGCAAGCTTAACCTTCCTTCCCTTGCAATGTTTGAAAGCAAAAAGCTCGTATATATCAATCTCTGCTAGAATGATATCAATGGCCTGATGATCTTTCTGAAAAATTCAGTTCTCCATAAAATCAAAATGGGAAAACACAGAAACCTTAATGTTCAACAGAAAAAAATCACAAAAAATTTAATTTCCCCTTCTTACACGTAAAATAGAACTGGATTAGTTTCCACCTCACTATATGAACTATATGAACTTCATGAATCTATGATTGTTAAGTAGAGAGGCAAATCAAATAAGAACCAGCCAAGCTGAAGTCACAACCCATACATGCTTTCATTTAGAATGTACAATCAATCATACTGGTTAAATGCACATCATTTTCTTCCATTTTACAGTAAACAACAATAAGGTACCAAATGCACTTCATTTTCTTCCATTTTACAGTAACCTTGGCTGAGGAAACAAACATATTTAAGTGAAATCGTTCTGAAGTTCAAGAAGAAGAGATCAAATTGTTCAGGTGGGAATTTATTACCTAGGGTAGAGGCCAAGAGTTTAATTGATCATCTGTATCATGAAATAGACGTCAAACTCGGTGAAAACAAGAGCTTCAATTCCATGCCTGATGTAAAATCTATCAAATTAATCATCTGTAGTCTTCCTTCTGATCACGTAGCAGATATATATATATATATATATATGCAGTTTGTGGCAAAATTCAAGGAGACATCAAAAGCTGCAGCAGCTCGCTCACTCACCACAAATATCATTAAATTAAATTTAGAGGCTCTATTATTGTTGTCCTCAAGGAGGTTAAAAATGCATTAAATTTAGTACTGGGTACACTACTCGTGAAATAAAATAGCCAAACACAAATTAAATAACATCAAGACGTGAGGATGACAACAAAATTATCCATCAAACTTTAAAGGATCCAAGCCAAGGGGGTAAATTAAATTACAAAAACTACGACAATCTCATAGTGAGGTATTATTTCACAAGGAAAAACGGTGTACTTAATATTTTCTAGAGAAAAATTAATGTGTCTAGTTAAAGATGCAAAGTAATGAAAAGCATAAATCAAGAGAGGGTCAAGTATATCAAAAAGGAAATCATGAGAAAATCAAAGATTAAAAAAAATAGAACCAAAGATTAAAGTAAAATAAAGAATGCCAAAGAACAAATCATGGAAAAGATTAAAATGATTCCCATGTGGTATCAGAAGACCTATTCTTCATTCTGCTAGGCTTCCCATGTGGAAAAGATTAAAGTGCTGCACGGAACTAAGTGCTACCATGCGAGTCACCTCTAGAATTCATGCGAGCCACTTCTTGAGTTCGTACATTCTGATAAGGGCTTAATGCCATTTTGACAAGGGCTTAATGCCATTCTGTTAAGGGCCAATTTGTGAATATGTGAACCCACCAAGCCAAGGGCCAATCTATGACGTTGTGAATCGACAAGGCCGTTCTGAATATGAGTACAGAATCAGATTAACTACCTGTCTCTTACATTATACACGCATTGCTCCGCATCATAATGCAAGTTGAACATTGAGTTATTTAAGTACTATTATTCACTGTGATTGTCTCACTCTGTATTTAGTCTGATTCTGTAGGTAATAACTATGGAGGTCAGCCATAACCCTCGATGCTCGTCTCCCTTTGTCAGCCTCTGTATGACCAAGCATTTGGGTGAAGCCTACCCGTTTTTATGAATTATACTAAGTTTGACTTGTACTCTGATTGTCTATAACATGTTGAAGTTTCCAATGTTTTTGTTATTCGCCCAAACAAGGGGCGGGATTGTATATGTGTATATAAATATGTATCATTTGATGCACTGTTTGTGATCCTGGTATGGTAGTGGTCGCTCAATGGATGTAGTTTCTTTTTATTTCATGTTATTTTATAATATATAATGCTTCCGTTCAGGCCCCATATGTAGGTATACCGAATTTTACGTCCGTTTTTGAAGTGGTCATACCCAAACTTCTAGGGGCGAGTTTGGGGTGTGACGTGGATGTCTATGTACTCGCTCTGCATGAGTATGCAACAGGAAGATTTGCCTGGTTTTGTGATTGTGCTAACAAAAAACATAAGAAGTGCAAGATTTTATTCTTCTATAATCAGCTTCCTCGAATTCATTTTACTTTTCATAGTAAAAATGTGATGCACACTGACAAAGTATCAAAGAACCTTGAGAACTCCATGCCAATTCAGGATGAGGTTGTAGATACTGAATACCAACATTCAAGACTCATTCAGTATTAGTCAATACATGGGATGTGTTTGAATTTCATTTATTTCATAAACAATTTCGAATAATGCATTTTAAAAGCCCAAGAGAACGGTGGAGGAAAGAACCTTTTATATTGTTTAGACTGGAAAGCAAATACCCCAAAGCAAAGACTGTCAGCTATCAAACTGCAAGACCAAGATGATGATATTCAAAACCTGAGTTACCTGAGTTCCATATTTTGAAGACGGATCCGTTCCACATATAAGTCATCCTACTCTGCCTCAGAAATAAATTCATCATCTTTTTTCAGATCTTTCTTGCGCCGTGCATTTGACTTACTGAACAGAACTCTTTCTAGCCTGCAAGCATTACAACCCCAGAAGGTAAAAAAATTTAAAAAAAAAAAAGGGCATGGTAGCTTATTCCAACAGGATGAGGTACATTCAAGAGCATTTACAGACAGCCCTGAACACTCTGACATCTGATCACAGTTAAACATGTGAAAGTTACTTGCACAAGGGTCAAGATAATGGCCAAATACTGCTGATGTGTCCCAGATGTTAACTCACCTAGTCTTTCTCAAAAGCGATGCCCACAAGCGTTCAATCGTCCACTTTCTCCATGAAGTAGTTAGTTGTCCGATCAATTCCAATGCCAAGGCAGAATATTACGTACTGCAAGGGCATTTACAGACAGCCCTGAACTCTCTGACATCTGATCACAGTTAAACATGTGAAAGTTACTTGCACAAGGGTCAAGATAATGGCCAAATATTGCTGATGTGTCCCAGATGTTAACTCACCTAGTCTTTCTCAAAAGCAATGCCCACAAGCGTTCAATGAGCATGTCCACTTTCTCCACGAAGAAGTAGTTAGTTGTCCGATCAATTCCAATGCCAAGGCAGAATATTACGTACTGCAAGGGCATTTACAGACAGCCCCGAACTCTCTGACATCTTATCACAGTTAAACATGTGAAAGTTACTTGCACAAGGGTCCAGATAATGGCCAAGTACTGCTGATGTGTCCCAACTGTTAACTCACCTAGTCTTTCTCAAAAGTGATGCCCACAAGCATGCAATGAGCATGTCGACTTTCTCCATGAAGAAGTAGTTAGTTGTCCGATCAATTCCAATGCCACGGCGAAATATTACGTACTACTAAAAAAAAAAAAAATGACAAACTTACCATTTATTATATTTCTCAATACAAAACAAACACTTTTATTAGGGGTCAGCAATGCTGCCAACATACATCCTATGAAGCATGGACACGGCAAAATGGAAACCGTGGCGATGTCGGATACGGGGACACGCCGGGGACACGTATGGGACACGGCATCCGGCGTGTCCCCTTAATTTAATTTATTTTTTTGCAGGGGACGCGCGTGTCCAAATCTAGACACGCCATGGACACGGCGAGAAGAGTAAATGAAAGGGGAAACGAGTACAAACTTGGTCGGCAACGATCCAGAGCCCTTCGACTTCGATCGACGATCCAGAGCCCCATTCAACTTCAACGATCCAGTCCCTTTGACTTCGACGAGCTCTCTCGCCTTTGCCTTCGCAGAGCTCTCTCCCTCTCTCTCGCCTTCTCTCTCTCCCTCGCGATCGCAATCGTCTCCCTCTCTCTCGTTTCTGATCGCGATCGTCTCCCTTGCTTCTGTCTCCCTCTCTCTCGGTTCTCTCCCGTCTGTCTTCTTGTCTTGATATTATAACTATTATTATTATTATTATATATTCATATATAATATATATAACTAATAACTATTATTATTATTATTATTATTATTATATAATATATATATAACTAATAACTATTATTATTTTATTATATATTATATAATAGTTATTATATAACATAAATATACTTATTAGATAATGGATAATACATGATGGTACAGTTTGTTCCAGTGAATGGATCGGACTAGTCCAAGCTCTTCAAGCCCACGTCCAAATGATCAAGCCCACCGGGTAACCTGCAAACAAGTTTAACGGGGAACTGGGTAGTCCCTAGTGAACCCTCCGACAAGCAAGTTAGGAAGAGAAGTAGAGTGCAGAGGGACAGATTAGAGATAGAAAAGCTTAACATTCTTCTTGTCTTCAACGTTTGCTTATATCCTTTTGTAATCATTTCGCTGTCCCTTCCGACCTGCCCTTCTCGCCGAAAGTCTATGCTATAGCTTACCTTGTTCAAGGTAAGAGGGTCATGTTCCGACGGAGAGATGTTGTCGTAATAAATACTGTGATAGGCTGCATTAATGGTGATGTGCAGTGGCAATAACTTTGCAGATCTTTGTCTGCTGATGTGGCTCGTCCTTCACCTGCCGTGTCTGAATGTCATTGGCTCTTTATGCCATGTTGGATTCTGTAAGAATTTATGTATTATTGATTGATGTTTATTGATATCTATGCTCCAAGTGATGGGCTTGGGTTGTTCATAGTGATTCATGGCCTTTATGGGCTTATACACGTCAGTAGTCCTCCATTCCCGAGTGTAGCTTTAGTCCAACGAAGGGAATACTAATAAAGAAGATGAGGGTGTTAGGGATTGGCAAGATGGAGGTCGACTGGCAGGGATGACCGAGAGGGTGAACCGACCGGGAGGTGGTCCGACCGTGCAGGGTGACAGAGTGAAAGGGCCGACCACAAGGAGGGTCGACCGCAAAGGTTGGCTGAGTGGGAGGGTTGACCACGAAGAGGGCCGACCACGACGGGGGCCGATCGCGGAGGTTAGCCGAGTGGGAGGGTCGACCACGAAGGGGGCCGACCGCGGAGGTTGGCCAAGTGGGAGGGCCGACCGCGAAGGGTGAGTGGAGGGGCGTGGGGCTCGAGAGGCGGCGTGTCACGTGGTGATTTGAAGTGAAAAAGACAGGGTAAGGGGAGGAGATAGTGGATCGTGGTTGTATACGTGGCAACATCCCGCGGGAGGGGGGAGAAGATTAGGCGTTAGATCAGAAATGAAACAATAGGTCATTATAGGTGTTGAAAAGACAGTTTTGGCGGATGATTTGAAAAGTTTTCAAACTGGCGAAAATTAATTAGGATCCTTGGAATACGGGCAAACCGTGGGCTTTTGGCATTATTCGATTCACCTACTTGTTTACGAAAAATCAAAATATTCCAAGTGTGAATTCCTTTGTTGCACACGATACGCCTCTACAACACTTTTTCAATTTTCTTGCACCTGCATCCGAAGCGATTCGCAGACATACCATAGAAATGGCCCAAAAAGAAGCTGCGAATGTCAGGGTGGATCCACTTGGTGATGATGATGCAGTGGAGTTAGCACAGCAATATATGATGGAGAAGGTGGGGGAGTCGGTGGTACGATCCCGTGGTTCCACCATGATAGCAACTCCAAAGCCAATCAGCCAGGCAGAACCAGATCACTGGCATACAAAGGCAGATAGATCAACGGTTACTGCAGCGGATTTGGAGGCTATTCGCGAAAAATACCAGGTGCCTGCTGAAATAGAGTTATTGTTGCCGATGTCGACGGAGAGGGCATCCGACGCCAGGCCAGGGGAGTTTTCCCTTTATGAGGAAGCATTGAAGGGAGGACTGAGGTTGTCCCTGCCGCAAGTGATGGTAGATGTCCTGAATTGTTTGGAGGTAGCGTCGGGCCAACTAATGCCCAATGCGTGGAAGATCTTACTGGCCTGTGCAAGTGCGTGGCCAAAAGCGAACGAAGGGGCGACCATGACAGTAGACGAATTCTTCGCATGCTACAAGGCCTCAGGGCAGCAAGAGACTTGGGTCACTCTGCAGGCAGCAGCAAGGAAAGGGCTGGTGGTGGGGCTACCGTCGTCGATCAAGGAGTGGAGACCACGGTGGTTCTATGGGTCTGCCAGTGGAGGGGTTGGAGTGCGCACCATTTGGAAAGTGCCCACCAAGTCTGTGGAGCCAAAGCTGGGAGCAGCAGCAGAGGAGAGGGTGAAGAAGGTAAAGGAATGGAGGGAAAATGAGGGGGCCAGATGGGACGAGCTCGTTCAGCCGTCGGCTTTGTTTGAGGCAGGGTTGGGTCCACAGCCGAGTGGTGGGGACCTCGACCGAACAGAGTTGGAAGCAAGGAGGAAGGCTCAAGAGACGGAGGACCAGACCATCTTGGCCAAAGCCCCAAAATTCAAAGAGTCGTAGGCAGACCGACTGCCAAAGCCGGTTGCGAGGGAGAGAATCCGACCTCGCCCCAAACCCTTGGGGCAAAAAGACTTAAGTGAATTTGTGCCACGACCGCCCCCAACAGATCCCTTGAAGGAGAAGGCTTTGAAGGAGATGGAGGTAGGGGGCGTAGTGAAGAAGAAGAGGAGAGTGAGGAGAAGTGAAGAAGAGCCTGCCTTGAAGAGAAGGAGGGAAGTGAGGGTAGAAGAGACCAGTGTGGTCAAGGAGGCAGAGAGGGAGGGAGTGGAGGAGACCCCAAGAAGGGTGGTCGTCCCAGAAGTGGTGGACATCGCGTCGGAGGGGATGGAGGTCGTCCCAGTAGTGGTGGGGATCGCCACAGTGGTAGCAAGGGCCGCCCCCGAAGTGCAAGTAAAAGGTGGGGCAATTGGCCTTGAGCCAAGGAGGGGAGAACAGCCCCAGGGGGCTCCTGCACCCCAAGGAAGGGGAGTCAGTCTGACTATTGCGATCTACCACGCTCGTGTAATGGCTGGGCGGCTAGAG